TAAGGGCAGCAGCAGCAGCAATTGTGGTAGCTTCATAGCGGTAATTGTTGTTGTTGTTAAGCACTGCTGAGTCGGTTCTGATCCATAGTATAGGGTTTCCGAGGAGCAGCTGGTGACCTTGAACCACTGACCTTGCGGCTCAAACCGACTTTGCAGTCTAGTGCATTCATCAGCAGTGCCACACCTGGACTCGGTAGTAGTAACTAGAGGCAGTAAAGTAGTAACACTTGTTGTTTTAAGTGTCATCAAGTCTGTTCGGACTCACAGTGACTCTGCACAGGGTTTCTGAGGAGCAGCTAGTGTATTTGAACCGCGGACCTTGAGGCTCAATCTGCCCTTGCGGTCCAGTGTTTGATCCTGCAGTACCACGAGACTAGTAAGAGCAGTAGCAGTCACAGCAGTAGTCACAGCAGTAGCAGTAGTGGGTTGTAGTCGTAGTAATAGTTGTTGTGAAGTGCCATTGAGTCGGTTCCGATTCATAACGACCCTGTGTGTAGGGTTTCTAAGCAGAGGCTGGTGAGTTTGAACCACTGACCTTGTGATTTAAACAACCTTGCAGTCCAGTGCATTATCCCACAGTGCCACACCAGGACTCCAGTTGTGTTGTGGTTGTTAAGTGCCAAGTAGGTTCTGACCCATAATGACCCTGTATAGGGTTTTCGAGGAGTGGCTGGTGAGATTGAACCGCCAACTTTGCGGTTCAAACCAACTTTGCAATCCAGTGCATTAACCCACAGCACCACACCAGCACTCCAATAGGAACATCAAAATGGAAGCAGAGAATGGCACCTAGGTCTTAATTCTACTCCATGGACCCTGTCCCTACTCCACTGGTATGACGTTATTAGTGACCAGCCATCGAGTCATCTCTGACTTGAGGCGACCTCATGCATAATGGAAGACCTTGACATGCCTAAGATCCCATCTTCCAGCACTCCATCAGCCCGATGTATTCTGTTGTGATACATCTGTCTCTTCTCCCTTGTCTCTCTTAGTCAGGAAGCTCCACCCTGCTGAGACCACCACAGTACAACACACTGACAGACGGGTGGCAGGCAGACCAGTGTTAGACCTGTGCCTAAATCCATATGATGGAATGGGTGCTCTTGCCTACACAGATCTTCAAAGGAGGGAAGGAAATCTCTGTAATAGATCATCTGCCTTGGACTTTCTCTCTAGGGTAACTTTTTTAAAAGTCTTGACTCCTAGGGCCCTGAGCAAACATTTTATGTGCTTCCCAAATGTCCTCGTTTCCCTCACCCTCACCTACCACGTTGGTGAGTGTGTGTTCACCCCATCTGCCTCCCTGCTTGAGTCCATGTCTTCCTAAGGAGGTGCATGTGAGATTCTTTCTCTGCCCCTCCACCCCCAGCACCCACCAGAGTTCTGACACGTGGTAGAAGCTCAATATGAACTGATGGAATGGGTGGTCATTTGGCCTTGAGCTGCTTTTCAGAGGTTCAATATAAACAAATGAATTTAAAAGAGTGATACCATTAGTTACCAGCCCTGGTGGTGCTGTACTGTGGACTGCTAACCACAGGGAGAGCGGTTCAAACTCAGCAGTGGTTCCCCGGGAGACAGATGGAGCGGTCTGCTACTGTAACACTTTACAGCTTTGTAAAGTCCTGGTGTGGCGCTGTGGGCTAATGCGTCAGATTGCAAAGTCATTTGAACTGCAAGGTCAGTAGTTCAAGCTCACCAGCTGCTCCTTGGAAACCCTATACAGGGTCATTATGGGTCAGAACCTACTTGGCACTTAACAACCACAACACAACTGGAGTCCTGGTGTGTCACTATGCGCTAATGCACTGGACTGCAAGGTCAGTTTGAAGCACAAGGTCAGCAGTTTAAGTTTACCAGCCACTCCTCAGAAACTCTTTATAGGGTTGCTGTGAGTTGGAATCAAGTCGACAACACTGAACAACAGCAACAACAAACCTTAAACCAGGAGTCCTGGTGTGGTGTTATAGGATAAGTACTCAACAGTAAGGTCGGTTTGAGCTACAAGGTCGACAGTTCAAACTCACCAGCCATTCTTTGGAAATCCTAAACAGGGTCGCTGAGTCGGAACCACTTAATAACAACAAGAACAAACCCTAACACATCTTCAGGAAGCAGACTCTGAAGAGAAAAGGAGTCTTGGTGTGGCCCTGTAGGATAAGCACTGGACTTCTAACCACAAAGTCGGCCGTTCAAACTCACCAGCAGCTCCTCAGAAACCCTATATAGGGTCGCCCAGAGTCAGAATCAACTCTATGGCAATAGGTTTGTTTTTGTTGCTTTTTAAACTATACCTGGTACGGCACCATAGGATGAGCACTCGGCCTCAAGGTTGGTTTGAACTGCAAGGTTGGCAGTTCAAAATCACCAGCCGCTCCTTGGAAACCCTATACTGGGTCTCTATGGATCCAGTGCAACAACACTTAACAGCAACAACCCTCAGCTGGCAAGGAATTGTTGTTGTTACATGCCATCGAGTCGGTACCGGCTCATAACGACATTATGTGCAGCAGAACGAAACATGGCCCAGTCCTGGGCTAACCTCACTACTGTTGCCACGCTTGAGTCCATCGATGCTGCCACTTGGCCAATCCATCTCATTGGAGGGACCAGTCTTTGGAGAAGGATATCATGTTTGGTAAGAAAAGGAATTAGGTCTGTGGAATTAAGGGAAAAATCTGCCCACACCTGACCTCCAAGTGAGGGACAGTTTGCCATCCCAGGGGCCATAGCAAATAGACTCATTAAGCATGCTCGATGGCATTCAGATGGGAACATGGTGCCAGGACCATGTCTGGAAACATGCTCCTGACAAGCTCTTCCTTAATTAGCAAAACACCTTGTAAAGCTAGAAGTCAAAGAAATGAAGTGGTAATTCATCACTGTCTCCAACCCTAAAGGAACAATCAATGCACCAACGCTGACTTGCTGCCAGGCTGGGCGGTGATCTGCGGCATCAGTGACTTGACACGGTTCCACTGATGGGGCCAGAAACTCCAGAGTCATGTCTACCTTGAACCTGCGCACCAGCATCGAAAACAAAATAACTGCGCCCATTCCTCAAGTGCCTACAGACTGCAGGACCTATGTGAATGCCGTCTGCATCTGAGCGATCTTTAGAGCTACACCTCACTCATAGTGACCTCATGCATGATCAGATGCTGATCTGACTGCTGGGATCAGGGTTTTCATTGGTCGATATTTGTCTTTCTTCCTAGTCTGTCTTAGTCTGGAATCTCCATTGACACCTCTTTAGTATTTATTGCCTCAGTGCGGATACACCAGAGAATCCCACAAGTGGATGGCTTTCACAAACAGGAATATATTTTCTCACTGTTTAAGAGGCTAGAAGTCTAAATTTAGATTTCTGGCTTTAGGGGAAGTCTTTCTCTTTCTTCCAGCTCTGCAGGAAGCTCCTTGCCTTTTCAGTTTCTGCTTCCTGGAGATGTGTTAGCATCTGTCTTACTCCATCTCTCTCACTCCTTGCTTGCTTGTTTCATCTCTTTCACATCTCAAAAGAGATTGATTTAAGACACACCCGCCTCAAATCCTGTCTTATTAACATAACAAAGACAACCCAGTCCCAAATGCGATTATAACCACAGGCATGGAGATTAAGATTTATAACATATTTTGAGGGGGACATAGATCAGTCTTTAGCAACATCATACAACATGCAAGTCTACACCAATAGGTGAGGCTGGCTGCCCATACAGCCAAGACTCTAACCCCGTCTCCCTCAGGGAAGGCACCAACACCGCCCTGAACCTCTACCACCTGCACCCTTAGAAATGTGGTCATGCTTATTCAGAGTTACTGCCTGAATCTGTTTTCTTCCATACCTTTGTCTTCACTCTCCTGCCAGCTACACTGCTCACCTGAACTCCGAAGTTCAGCGTCAGCCTTGCTCTGTGACCAGCCTTGACTTTGTGCAAGTTGCACAATCATGTATAGTGTTTGTGAAGCCTCAGTTTCCATATCTATAAATGTTGGTGATAGTTGTGGTGTCTGCTGTAGACAGTCCACCTGAGTGAGGGCTGAGTGAGTCCATGCTTGTCCAGGACTTAGAGCAGAGGCTGGCTCATACCCCTCAACACATGGCGGCTGTTGTAAAGTCAGAAGAAAGATCATGATGATGGTTGGTGTTTTACGATGGCTGAGTTCAGGAGCTCTGGGGCCAGCCCTGCATTCCATGACAGTTCCTAGCCCCACCTTCAGCCCCTGCTGAGACTCACTATAGGGGTCCTGTTTTGACTTCCTACCTGAATTACTTCACCCTCTCTCCTCTGGGACTCTGGGAAAGAACCTCTGGTCCCAAATCTCAGGTTTGGCAGGACTCCAGGGACTATTGCCTGATCTCCACTGTCCTCAGCCTCCCCTGCCAGATGTCTGCATCCAGGGAGTAATATCAGTATCAGGGGATGGTCATTAGGAAACAAGGAGTGACAAAGTCACAGGGATGCTGGGTCTGTGGAGGCAGAGACCCTGGCATCCAGCCCACTCAGCCACTTAGCTTAAGAAGCTGGGCTCTGGGCCTGGATATCTGGGTTAACCCCAGCCCAGGCACTGAGGAGCAGTGCAGGCCATGGACAAGTTGCTTACCCTCTCAGTGCCTGAGCTTTCTCACTCATTGGATTCTGATGAACATCAATTGTGTGAACTCATGTAAAGAAGGTACCCTGGTAGCGTAGGGGTTATGAGTTGGGTTGGTAACAGTAAGGTCAGCAGTTTGAATCTACTATTTGCTCTATGGGAGAAAGAAAAGGCTTTCTGCTCCCATAAAGATTTACAGCTTCACAAACCCTATACATGGTTGTTGTGAGTTGGAACCGACTCGACAGCACATCACCATCACCACACTTGCAAAGGGCTTAGAAGAGGCCCTGGCATGATCAAAAGTCTTCTGACTATCTCTGATCTTGGCGACTCAGTCTCTTAGTGGCAGATGGCAATGACTACCACCTCATAATGTGAGTTTGAGGAGAAGTAAGTGCAAGGTGAGGTATGGCTCAGTCAGTGATAATTGTTGTTGTTGTTGTTAAGTGCTGTTGAGTTGGTTCTGACCCATAGTGACCCTGTATAGGATTTCCACGGAGCAGCTGGTGAGCTTGAACTGCTGACCTTGTGGTTCAAACTGACTTCGCAGCCCAGTTCATTAATCCACAGCACCAGATCAGGACTCCAGGAGACCCAAACACCCACACCAGACCCACTGCCTGTGTAAGGTGCTGAGTCAGACCCCCTCATTGTTCTTCCATGGAGTGTCTGGGGGGTTTGAGCCAACGACTGTTCCATTAGCAGCCCAGTGCTTACGGAGAACACAAAACTATTCCGTCTGTCTGTGTGGTTCTTGCTGTGTGTTGATTCTGAGCCATAGAGTCTCTGCAGGGCAGGGTAAGGTTTCCAAGGCTGCAATCTTTACGGGAGCAGTTTGGCAGGCCTTAATCCCATGGAGCTGAGCTGAGGGTGGGTTCGAACCATTAACTTTTCAGTTAGTAGCCATTGAGTCACCAGTTTGGCTGTTGAGTCTGTAAAATGTGTGGTGAGGTGCCATCGAGTCAGTTTCAACTCATAGTGACCCCATGTACTGAGCTTGAGTGTGAGAGAAAAGGTGTGAAGGTACATTGCCCGGCTCTGAACCATCCTCACAAACATTACGATGTTTGAGCCCATTCCTGCAGCAATGTTGAGTCCACTGTGTCAGTCCATCTCCTTGGGGTCTTTGACTTGTTCGCTGACCCTTCATTTTACCAAGCATGGTGTCCTTCTCCAAGGCCTGGTCCCTCCTGATGTGTCTAAAGCACAGGAGACCACCCTCATGTCTAAGGAACATTCGGGCTGTACTTTTGAGACAGATTTGTTTCTAGCAATACACACTATATGTAATATTCTTCACCATAATTCAAAGGCATCAATTCCTCTTCAGTCTTCCTTATTCATTGTCCAACTTTCATATGAATATGAGGCTATTAAAAATGCCATGACTTGGGTCGGGCGCACCTTAGTCTTCAAACTGACATGTTTGCTCTCCAACACTTGAAAGAGGTGTTTTGCAGCAGATTTGCCTAATGCAATATGTCATCTGATTGCTTGACTGCTGTTTCCATGAGGATTGTGGATCCAGGTGAAATGAAATCCTTGACAACGTCAATCTTTTCTCTGTTTATCATGATGCTGTTTATTGGTCCAGTTGTGGGGATTTTTGCTTCTTTATGTGGAGGCATAATCTCTATCGAAGTCTTTATTTTTCATTTATATCAGGAAGTGTGTCAAATCCTTTTCACTTTAAGCAAGCAAGGTTGTGTCATGTGCATATGTCAGGTTGTTAATGCGTCTTCCTTCCAACCCTGATGCCATGTCATTGTTCATGTAGTCCAGCTTCTTGGATCCTCTGCTCAGCATACAGACTGAATAAGCATTCATACGTTTCTTGATGTCAAACCATGCCATATCCCCTTATCTGTTCAAATGACTGTCTCTTGGTCTATGTATGTGTTTTTTTGTTCTGGAACACCTATTCTTTGCATCATCATCCATAATTTATTATGATCTACACAATTGAATACTTTTGCACAGTCAATTAATATATAGGTAAACATCTTTCTGCAATTCTCTGCTTTCAACCAAGAGCCATCTGCTATCAGCAATGATAGCCTCGTTCTAGGTCCTCTTATCAATCTTAAATATTTGAGTTTCTGAAAGTTCCCTGTCATCACACTGCTGTAACCAAGCAAAACCATGTAAAATTGCAGATGGCAAAGTGTATGTATGTGTGCGTGTACACTGGATGTTTGAGAGAGGCCACTGCCAGGGACAGCAGAGTAGTCACAAGCTGCCTACCCTAACCCATGCTCTGACCCTAACCCGTCCCCATCTTGTCATAGCTGCTGCTTCCAGCACCGTAAATGCTATGAAGAAGCTGCTGACATGGACTGTCTCCAAGACCCTGCCAAGATCCCCACAGACGTCGACTGCATCAGCAGGACCATCACATGTGGTAAGCATCTGCAGGGGTCTCCGCTGAGGAGTGCCAGGTCAGTGACCCCAGACCTGGACCAGGGCCATCTCCTCCAATGGTGATATCACCGTCAGTCCTGGAGGTCTGCGGGCTGCGTCTGTGCCATTTTCCCTTAGACTTTACAGAGAGCAGATGCATAGCAAATGCTTACTGAATGGAAACAATTGACCTATATATTAGCTGATTTTTGCAGTTTGATACTGTAGCAACCTCTCAAGCTTGGGAAGGATGTTGTTGTTGTTGTTAGGTGCCATCGAGTCAGCACCGACTCATAGCGACCTTATGCACAGCAGACCGAAACACTGCCCGATCCTGGGCCAACCTCACTACTGTTGCCACGCTTGAGTCCTTCGATGCTGCCACTTGGCCAGTCCACCTTGCTGGGGGCCTTCCTCATTTTCTCTGACCCTCCACCTTACCAAATATGATGTCCATCTCCAGTGACTGCTCCCTCCTGACAATATGTCTGAAGCATGAGAGACGAAGTTTGGCCATCTTGGCCTCCAAGGAGCACTCTGGCTGCACTTCTTCCAAAACGGATCTATTGGTTCTTTCGGCAGCCCATGGCACTTTCAATATTCTCCTCCAAGGATAGGTATTTACTAGTCTCATGCTGTTTGATGTTGGGGAAATTACTTAAACTCTCTGAACATGGAAACAGGAAGGAGAAAGGCTGCCACAGAGATTTGCTGTGAGAATTAAACTAAATAAGGCTTATAAAGCAGTTATAGCAGTGAGCAGCATATGCTAAGAACTCAAAGATGGAAGCAGAAGGAACAAAGGATGCAGCTGGGTGGCTATGGTTATAATACACACACCCTCAGACTGTCTAAACACCTTTCTTAATGACCCGGGGCTGTGGTCACCGAAAGCCAGTGGCTTTAAAGACATTTACCTTCTCATAGTTCTGAAGGCTAGATGTCCTCAGCTGGGTTGATTCTATTCCGTCTTTGTTGGGAGTTCCTCAGCATCTTGGCATTCAGTAGCTTGCAGATGACCTTCAGCCATATCATGTGGTCCCTGCTGTGTCTTTTTCTCCTTTAATCCTGTGTGATTAGGGTTAGGACCCACCCTCATTCCCATCATCAAAGAAAACTCTGTTTCCAACCAGGTCCCATTTACAGGTACAGGGGTTAGAATTTTATCACAGATTTGTGGGGTGGGGGAAATTCAATCTGCTCCATAGCCCTATCCCATAGGGGTCAGAATTCCCATTTTGCAGAGAAGGAGAAAAAGTCCAGAGAAAGCAAGTAACTTGCCCTAAGTCACATAGCTCCAAAGTGTCAGAGCTGGGGTTTGAACCCAGATTTGACTGACCCTAAACCTAGGCACCACAGACTAGTTGAAGTATGGATCACCAAGAAAACAGTGAGGAGAGGCATTGGATGTAAACCATAGGGAAGGTACCCAGGAAACACAGAAAACATGACTCATTCATCTGTTCATTCATTCAACAGATACTTATTTATTGAACTTTGGTACAAAATACAAGAGGATCACATCAGCCATGGGGTCTCTTGACTGACCATACAGTGACATAGTCTGTTAGATCATATGGCAGCTATGGAGGATATAAATCAGGGACATGGGGGAGGAAAGACTGGGGTGGGGGTTTCTATTTAAGTAGAGGCATCAAGGGAAGTCTCCCTAGGAGAAGACGGTTGAGCAAAGATGTAACTAGGCAGTAAGAGATCCATGGGGATTCTAGTGAGAAGAATAGTCCCGACAAAGGAACCAGCGAGTGGCCAGGCCCCAAGGCTCTAGGGGGCCTGGTGTGTTTGAGAAATAAGTACACCAGTGTGATGGAAGTGGGGTGCAAGAGAGAGATGGAAGGAGATGAGGCTTGAGATGGGAACGAGGGGTAGGGAACAAATCACTTGGTGTTTTCTAGGTTTCTCCTTTGAGTTGAGAAGTCACGAGAACATTTTGAACCCCCACAAAAGGCATGACTGGATTCGTGTTTTTAAAAAGCTCCCTCTGATTACTGTGAGAATAGACTGGGTGCAGGGGAGGAGCAGGGGCTGGGTTTGTAAGTCGTTAACATAGCTCAGGTGGAGGACATGGTGTTTGACCAACCTGGTAGAGTGCAGTTGGGGTGACGTGGTCTGACTCTGAAAGTTTTGAAAGTGGCACCAACAGGATTGGTGGGTGGATTGGGTGTGAGTGTGAGAGAAAAGGTGTAAATGTGGTTGCCAAGTGCCTCAGCAACTGGAAAGCGGGGGTTTCTGTCAATGAGACAAGGAAGACCAGAGAGGGGCGGGTTTGTGGTGGGCAGATCAGGGGTTCAGTGTGGGGTTTGAGTGACCTCTCAGGCAGAGAACTTGCCAGCCTACTGGGTCCTTGCTCTGTAGAGTCCCAGGATTCCTGTGAACACACCTTGTGTACCTGTGACAAAGCCGCCATAGAATGCTTGACTCACTCTAGCTTCAACTCCTCCCTGAACCACCTGGACACCTCCTTCTGTCTGGCTCCGACTCCAGGTAGGAAGAGCGGAGTCCTGCATCCTCCGTGGGGCTGACGAGCAGGGACCAGAGCTGGGATGGAACCACTCTAATGGTCATTCTCCATGGCTTTGTTTTCCAGAGACAACCAGCAGGAAAGAGCTAACGACTCAGCTGCCCAGAGGTAACTCCTGCTGCAGAAACTGGGTCTGACTTGACCACAGGAGGCCACACTGAGGTTGGGGGCAGTGGAGACACACCCTCCACCCAGCCTGCCTCACTAGGCCTGGGAGCAAGCGGATACAATGGCTTCCAATAAACCCAACTCCAACATTCTCATGGTCCCAGGGCAATCCCTGGCCCTTACTACACGGATGGGCTGGAATGGGATTATATATAGGATGTAAAGCCTGTAACCCCTAGCTGCCTATAGTGACAGGCCTGGTGTGCCCAGCTGCAGTGGGTCCAGGACAGAGCCTGCTGCTCCCAGGGAACTTGCTTGTCCCAGTCAGGTGTTTTCTGTGCAGAGGGAGCCTCCCAGGAGCAGTCCGGCTGCCTTCCCCTCCCCGTGATCCTGGGGCCAACGGAGAGGGGACGGTTCTGGGGAGAAGAGCTGGTTTCCCATGGGTCTCTTTGCAGGACAGGGTCTTCATAACTGTTCACTGATCCCAGCAAGTGGTGACTAGCATGAGTACTAACAAGTGCATGTGTGTGTGTGTGTGTGTGTGTGTGTGTGTGTGAATCTATGTATCTCTGTGTCCGAGTCCAGTATTCTTGCTTCTCAGCTAGCCCACCTCCCTTGTGAGCACTGGACTTCTCAGAGTTGGGGCTTCACACTCCATGACCACAGACCTTTGGGATTTGCAGTCATGGCAGGGCCTTCGGCTTGTGTCCAACAGTGCCCACCTCCTCCAGCAGCACCTAAGACAAAATGGAGACCCGGCTGAGATCCCACGGTGGGGAGGAGGAAGTCCTGGGATGGAAGGAGCAGCCCTTCCTCTGCTGAGCCCCACTCCCTAGTCTGTCTCTGTGGAGTTCCTGTGCTTGGCTTGGCCACCCTGCTGTCTCTCTCATTGCTACTGGGGGGTGGGGGGGTCTCTCTTTCCAGTGGTCCCTGAGGAGCCCACAGATTCCAGCCTGGGAGCCCTCTCCGGAGAAGGTGAGCAGAAGGGTGGGTGTGTAAGCCAGGTATCCCCACTTCATACATTCATGAGCTACTCGCTGGAATTGTAGTTAGGTGCCACTGACCCCATGTAACAGACTAGACCTGCCCAATGGGATTTCAGAGGCTAGCATCTTTACAGGAGTTGATCACCGCATCTTACTTTGCAGAGTAGCCGGTGGGTTCGAACCGCCAACCTTTGGTTAGCAGCCAAGCACTTAACCACTGCACCACCAGGGCTCCCTTCTTTTCCAACAAGTGGCGCCTCATTGACCCCCAGCGTGCCCTTGTCTGGAGGTTCCCAAGTTGCTTGGCCGAGGCACTGAGCTGGGCGGGTTCTTTCCACAGTGGCTGCCGAACCGAAATCAGACAGACTGACCACGCTCCCAAGGACAAGTAAGCAGAGGGGCTCCCGGAAGAGGACAGCATGGACTCCAGTGGATGAATACCCCTAAATAATTGTGCTCAACTTCTGGTGACCAGTTTAGTGCAGAGCCCAGAATAAGTACTATTGTACCCATTCTACAGAAAATGTAGGTAACGGAGGAGTTGATTGGGTCTCAGCCACACAGTTGATTGCTCTCTAAATTCACACTCAAGGAAGTAAAACGTTTGGTCTTTTCATTATACATAGTGATTCATGGAGAACAATCTCTGATCTAAAAATATCTAGGTCAAGATCGCATCAGAGAAATTAATGTAACCATGAGCTGCACTCGTGTTGATTAATAACCAGGCTTTAATAATTGTTGTTGTTAAGTGCTGTCAAGTCGATTCTGACTTAGAGCGGCCCTGTAAGTAGCGATAAATAACTACACCAGTTACTTCAGAGCAGACTCTGACTCCCAGTGCCCCCATGTGTGACAAAGTAGAACTGAGTTCCGAAGGGTTTTCAGTGACTGATTTTTTCAGAAATAGATGGCCAGGACTTTCTTCTGTGAACCTCTGGGAGTACTCAAATTCCCCAAGCTTTTGGTAAGCAGCAGCTGAGTGTGTTAACAATTTATACCACCTGGGGACTCCATATTTACACACAAAAACCAATGTCAAATCAGCTCCTAGTCATAGCAACCTCGTAGGACAGATCAGGGCTGCTGAGGGGCGTTTCAGAGACTGTAACTCCTCACAGCTTTATCTTTCTCCCCTGGAGTGTCTGGGGACTTTGAACCACCAACCTTTCTGTTAGAAGACCAATGCTTACCACACTGTACCACCAGAGCTCCTTTCTGGTCTATATTGTTGTAGTTGTGAAGTGTCGTCGAATTGATTCCAGCCCATAGAGACCTTGTATAGGGTTTCCAAGGAGCAGCTGGTGAGCTTGAACTGCTGACCTTGCAGTTCAAATGGCTTTACAGTCTGGCGCATTAACCCACAGCGCCACACCAGGACTCCTTCTGGTCCATAGTAGCTGCTTAATAACTGCTGAACAATTCAACAACAACAACAATGGCAACAATACACATTCTCCAGACAGAGAAACTGAGGCACAACGATGCTATCAGAGTCAGCGAGCAAACACCTCAAGACACACAACCCAGCTACCTCCGTACTGCATTCTCCTCCATCCCAAACGCATGATTTTTTAGGGCCTTCTTAACCCCAATCCTTTAAGAAGGATTTCAGTCAACTCTGCTGCCTTCAGCCTGGGGTACTGCAGCTGCATTTGCCAACAAGCCTGTGTCTTGGGGGTTCCCTTGGGTTCATCTGTCTCCAGTTTTCTCAGAAAGCTTACAATGGCATGTGCACCCAGGGCCCAGGGGTACCCAATGAGATTTGCTTGGAAAAATCAAGGTGGGAAAGACACTCACTATTCACCCAATTTTTGTTTTGTGGGCAGAACCAGGTCGAGATCTGGATTTCACAGAAGTTTCCAGGGCCACATCCCCTCCAGGTGAGTGCATGGCAACTTTTCCTGCTCTTAACCTTTTACTGCCTGGTCCGTTTTGGGGAGTCCTTGCATGGTGCAAAGGATTAACATGCACAGCTACTAACTGAAAGGTTGGTATTCAAGTCCACCCAGAGGTACCGACGAAGAAAGGCCTGGTAATCTACTTTTGAAAATTCAGCCACTGAAATCCTATGGAGCACAGTTCTATTTTAACACACATAGGCTCACCATGCATCAGAATTAGCTAGATGGTAATTGGAAATGAAAGGAGCTCTGGGATTGTAATGGTTACAAATCAGGCTGCTAATCTCATGGTCAGCAATTTGAAACTACCAGCTGTTCCGCAGAAGAAAGACCAGGTTTTCTGCTCCCATGAAGATTTACAGCCTCGGAAACCCTGTACAGGGTCACTATGAGTTGGAACCGACTCCACAGCACATAACAACAACAACAACAATTGGAAAAGAAAAGAAAAAAAAAAAAGATCAAGTGTGTTCCAAAGGAGTGTTGGGAATATGGTGTGAAACTCAACAATGGAAGGGATCAATTATTTAGCCAAATAGATAAATAGCTAAATGAAGACATAGACCCATCATCAAGAAGAAATGGAAGTATTTCTGATAAAGAGATCCATTTAGAAGAATCCAGAAAATTGTATGTAGTTTTCTACTGAAATCATTGGTAATTCCATGACTTAAAGACAGACACTGTTAATATCTGAAGACACTTTCTTCCAGTCCTTCTTCCCCAGAAACATCAATGAGCAGACTTGGGACCAGTTGGTGGCTGTTACGCTTTTGCAGTCTGAAGTCGTGTCCCTTAGTGCAGTAGGATGATGTCCTCTTGACCTCAAACCCTTTTTGCAGCCTGAATCTTAGTGGTTGCGTAATAATTCCTCATCTGGAACCATATCATTTATTTAGCCAATTATTCCTAACATTTTGTTTTTATAAATATGAACTGTCTTTTTGCCCATCCACTTCTAACAAATACTTTAGGATAAATGCCTAGAAGTTGAATTATTGGATAAAAGGGTGGGTTAATGTGCTGGACTGCAAAATTGGTTTGAACTGCAAGGTCGGTGGTTCAAACTTATCAACCGCTACTCGGAAACACTTTATAGGGTCGCTATGGGTCAGAACTGACATAAGGGCACTTAGCAACAACAACATTTCCAAATGGCACTAGAGAAACATTTAACCAATTTGTTCTGATATACTCATCGTTGTAGCCATTACTGAAAGAGTCCTAGGTGCTGTAGGATAAACACTGGACTACTAACCGGAAGGTTGTTGGTTCAAACCCACCAGTTGCTCCACAAGAGAAGGATGAGACTTTCTGTTCCCTTGGAGACTTACAGACTCAGAAACCCTATATAGGGTCATTATGAATCAGAATGGACTCTACGGCAGTGAGCTTTGTTTTGGGTTTGTTTATGTTTTTCGTAGTCACTACTAAATGTTGTCCACCACTCGTCTGTCAGTTTGTCCTACTCTGGTGGGCTGTGAGTTGCTGTGATTCTGAAAGCTATGCCACCAGTATTTTAAATACCAGCAGGGTCACCCATGGTGGACAGGTTTCAGATGAGCTTCCAGACGAA